GGTACAATTCACGACAAATAGAGAAACATAATAAAGGTACAAAATTCACGACAAATAGAGAAACATAATAAAGGTACAAAATTCACGACAAATAGAAAAACATAATAAAGGTACAAAATTCACGACAAATAGATAAACATAATAGAGGTACAATTCACGACAAATAGAGAAACATAATAGAGGTACAATTCACGACAAATAGAGAAACATAATAGAGGTAATTCACGACAAATAGAGAAACATAATAGAGGTACAATTCACGACAAATAGAGAAACATAATAGAGGTACAATTCATGATAAATAGAGAAAAGACTACTGCTGAGCCTCACAAATTGAAAATAAAAAAAATAAAGTGATGATGAATCACTCACACCAGTATCCAAAAACAACAACAAAATTTGTCTTTACCGTTTAATGTGAGGATTTTTGAAAGAAAGTAACTTAAGAAGAAAAAAGTAAATTATTTTATTCATCCCCACAGTAAAATATGATTGCAATAAAAATTTCAATGATAAATTATAATTGGATCTTAAGTAACTTCAACATGAATGGTACATTATGCAAAGGCACAGCAAGAGTTTAATTTAACTAATAGTATACATAATGAGCAATCTAGACTAGTTAAATGGCTTCATTACTAAGGAATAAAATGTACATTTTAAATGACAGCGGTATATTTGATCCCTTTTGCTCCACCACAATGTTGTGTTAGGCAGCAGAAACTTGACATTTAGTTTATGGTTAACTTCCTACAAACTATATTTTGAATAGTATATTAGCTTAAGACGAACCCTTTCCATGAGAAAAACACAACACATAAATTCTGAATGAAACAGAAGCATACAGACATGCATTTTTTTACCTATTTGTAAGTTGTAGCTTTTACACACTAATCATTCTGTAATAACTTAACAACAGTAATTTTCTTGTGAAAGTCTTGTGTACAAAAATGAAAATATGGTGCAAAAATTATGTAAAAAATAACAATGAAATGATACTCAGTACAATGGAGCTAACAATATGTCACCAGTCACTGTAATTTAAAGATTTAATACAACAATATGGAAATATAATTCTAAGTTATCTTGTTTTTTTGCATTAAAAAGGATTTCTGTTTTAAAATGTATTATCACTTTGTTATAATTTACTAGTTAACATACTTAATAATTAAAAATCTGAGGAGTTATGAATTAATACTTTTATCCAACAAGAGGGAATCCTCAATAGCTGAGGCACTTGAAATTCTTTTAAGCAGGATTAGAGTAAATTAATCTGTGAGACCTTTTTCTTTCTTTTTTATTAATTATATTTTTGTGTGCCGCAAATGACAAGTGTGGGGCACGCATATACTTGATTCAATTTTATTATTGAATCGGAGATCTCTACAAGCCTACCCTCAAATTGAAATTCTTTTCCGCAGGATTAGAGTAATTTAATCTACAAGACCTCGAGTGTGGTCAAATACTCCAAGTGAAACGTTTGACTTCCTTAGTCCAAAACTGTAATTAGATCTGAAATTGGTCAAGAGACGACAAAGCTACAAGCTAAAAGGTTGTACATGAAACAAAAAAAATTAGAGCTATTCTATGAACTGCTATGGTGCAACTAAAAAATATTTTTGTAATTAGCTTTTTAAGACTTTTTGCCAAATATTCTTCCTTCAAACTTACCAAGATCTCTGTAACTCCAGCCGAGGTTGGAAGTAACCACAGGTGGTTTCCGTGCTAATCTTCCATGTGTTAGGTTTTTTGTCACAACTGCCTGTCTATCACTACTATTCTTATTACAGGCTTCTTTACGTGCCCTGTTTATATATAAAACATATCCCTTATTACACAAACTTGTGACAAGAAAACAACTTTAACTGCTAGAAATATAAAAAAATTATAGCATGAACTTCTAAGTTACTAATAATTATAAAAACCTTTACAATGGTTAAAAGAAGATATTTCTAAAATGCAAGTTTTAAACCAAATTAATAAATAACAGCTAAAGAAGCAAGCAAAACATATCCAAAATAATTATTATTTTTTTTTATTAAATACCAACAAGTTTTATTTGTAAAGAATTTATAACTCAAGCACACTATTATCATAAAAAGTTGAAGATGCAAATATATAAATGTATGAAAATAACACTACACACAACAAACGTACAAACAATTGTGAGTTTTCAGAATACAATACAAAATGCTGAGGTTAATCCATATGTAATTTTAACTGTACAGAGGTTTGAGTACATTTTATTAAAACTAGTTTGGAACATCACTACACTGTTACAGTTCATGTTGCCATACCCAGTCATGCACTACACTACCTGGTGACCATGCATCTTGACAATAGTCCTGCTGCAGTTTCCATTATAAAAGGCTTTCGTATCAAAGCACATCAATCCTCCCACTTGCTTTCCATAATCCACTGGTGCATAAGGATGATGGTTTCCTAATACCCATTTTAGCAGTCTTTTCTGACAGAATTCCATAAGTGCTGCATCTAATGATTTTACTGATATGTCTTTATATGTAATAACATGAATATTTGTTTCATTCTACAGCTGCTTGATCTCCTGATCTCTAACTTGCTTTTGGCACCATATCTAGAAATGATCCCTTCTAAAGCATATTGTAACATGCCATGTAGCATTAATATACATACACGTGGAAATGTTTTTCACCCAGTGACGAAAAGAAAACGACAAGACTTTTTACAGTTAAAGACATACATACACTTGACTGAGTGTAACCACACAGTACCATTTTTCCCTGACTAGGAACTGTTCATATAGTTTTCTACAATGGTCTTCCTTTCCCAAATATATATATATATATATATCTTCATGACTTGCTAATTTTTATATTCAAAATCATTTTAATATAATGAATTAAACCTTGTGTTTGGATACCTTGGACATACAAAAGGAGAATTACTTATACACACACACACACACACAAAAACTATTATGTAATAAAATTCAAGACTATTCCTTTAGAAACAACTAGCACCACTTTCATACATACCAAACTACAAAACACGAATTAATTTACTTTTCCACAGCTGCTAACTTAAGATTAAAACTCACATTGCCAATTTATTTGCTAAGTCCAGAAATCCAGCTGAAGAGGCTACATCATCAGGTCTGAAACCATCCAAGTTAGGTGTATGTAGAGCTGAAAGACTTCCTGGGAGTGTCAACAGCTCCTCTGTCATCTGACGAAGACCTAGTCGTGCAGCAAAGTGTAACAATGTCTCTTGCTGTTCTAACACTGTAAGAAAAGCAAAAATGAACAAGCTGATTGTAAAGTCTTAGCCATTTGAAAACAAGGCATCAATAAAACTTTAATATAAGTATAGATATTTTCACAGTCATGATTTATTTAACTATTTTGCTTTAAAAGTAATGATTCAGTCACAAAATAAGCTATCTACATAGATAAAAATAGTAAAAAAAAGGTAAAAGACTAAAATAATTACTTTAATACAATGCATATTTTCCCCAATTGTGGCCTGAAAAATCAAACATCACCGGCCAATTCGCCACAACAAAATCTGTGCTATTGTTAGTACAACAAACCTATGTGTGACAAAAGTAGAATTGGCAGACTTAATTCAATAATGTTGATTACTTTTGTAAATTTTTTTAGCAAGGCATGTAAATTTTTCTTACTATGGCTGTTGTTTATAATGACAATTTTAGGGAACAGCATAAGTGCTACTTATGATTATAGATATTAATGACTCAGTAGGCATATGATCATATTTGGATAATAATAGTGTATTAAGTAAAAAAAATATTATAGTGAAATAAAACTTAAGTTTTACACACTGACAACAAAAACCTTATTAACAATTCAATACTTAATAAAAAATACATCTCCAAATTTCCAGTTAATTTTAAAAGTTTAAGTAATATTAAAAGCATCTAACAAGCAACACAGATGTTCTACTGTCCGTTTTAATCAAAAAATGCTTTTTTTTAACTGGTTATACCAAATGTGAACAATGCTGCCCTCTACAGGTTTACAAGAGCACTGTATATTTTGAATAATATGCAAGTTGTAAAATTACATTTCTTAACAGTCAGTGCAGCTTCAGAAGTTTAGATATACTTTATGCTTTCAATGTACACAAACTTATTAAGTTTCTTTTATTGAACATGTTATACATAAGACATTTTTTTAAATTAATTCATTCACATAGCTTCTCAAAATATAATCCCATTGTTATAGAGTAAAATTTTCTTGACAGGAGATAAGACGTGTTGCAAAATTAATCACACTTTTTTCCCTGAGAGCACAACAAAGTAAAATAAGATTTTAATTCAATCAAAAAAGTAATTTCAAGTATCAGTATCACTTGATTGGGCCACCATTGTTCTCATGCGCAAATTTTAATCGATTTGCAAAAGATTTCAGCAATTCAACAAACATGTCTGTTTTTGTGGCTGTCTCTGTAAGCATATCAGTGAGAACACGAATCAAGGTTTCACGTTTTGTGTCTCGCATTCAGGCAAGATTTCCAATCCACCACTTTTTCACGGACCACTCTTTCAAATTCAACAGTTCTGAAACTTTAGAGGCATTAATTGGATTTTTAAAATCTGGCATTGCAGTGTGTCGATTGGAAGACTTGAATCCTCAGAGCATGCCTGTGACTAGTTTCTGAGCCATCCCGAAGGCAGCACATGTAACATGAATCTGAGTTCTAGTGAGCACCATGATTCAAAAGTTTTCACAAAAAATGAAATTCGAAGAGTCAAACACCTAAGAGAATATTGAAATGACGTTTTCTTACGAGTGATGATATTCATGGTCCTACCAAGTTAGTCATTACTTCGGGGAAAAATAAAGTGTGATTTATTTTGCAACACCCCTTATTTATTAAATATCAGAGATACCAAAAGTATATTCCTACATAATGATGAATCCAAGATCTTAAAAATGTACAATATGTAAACTTTTGCTCAATTTTTCAAGAGTGAATACCTTCTGATCGTGATCCAACTATACTCCAGTTTGGTGGACGATGCAAGGCTTTAAATGCAGCAGTAAGTCGACTATCAAGATTAGCTTGAGCTTCAGCAGTTATCTGAAATTTTTCTGAACATACTTGTTCTAAGTTACTTAGAGCATCACTGTTATCCACACTGTCAGAAAGAAATGTAGCCATCTGGTAAGCATAATCAGAAACATACTGAAATTTCGATGAGCTGATGGGCCTTTCTTCTCCAAGATATGATACATATGCAGTAAAGTAAACGGGCTCCACTTTATCATGCCCTGATAAAAAAAAACAAAAACAATAAGCAGAAAACTACTGAATGAATCTTAATTTGAAGTATGTAAACAAATTATTTACAATTGTTAAAACATTTAATAATTCTTAACATTGTGCCATAATTTTTTAATGAAAAAAAAAGGCCAAACACGTATGCATTTCATTAGTTCCATGAATAATTGTAAACAAAGAGCATTTTAGTAAATTTATCATTAATGCTCCAAGTGGTAAATTTCTTTACAAAAATATAACAAAACTGTGGCTTCAAAGAAAGAAGAAGAGAAAATTGGAGTTGGTTGAAATGTTTCATAAAGATGGCAGTATCAGATTGAAATATAACTTGTCAACATATGCACTCATAAATGCTTATATTTTTTGTTTGTCTAATGTAATTTGAAGTTATATATTTATGAACATGATCTAGACTTTTCAATTGTGCTATACAATATTTAAATACTTCATCTAATTCTTAATGAAACATTCAATATGAACACGCAGAAACATAATAGTTAAGATAAACCCACATGTGCTTAAACATTTTCTAACATTTACAATATACAGTGTTAATTAGCTAGATGTGCAGAAGGATCAAGTTGTACTTTAATAAATACATTTAATTATGAACTGGTAATAACAAAAAGATCACAATACAAAAAGAGCTAGAATGTGCATACCTCAACCATGCATCACTGATGCATTCGACTCTAAAAAAAATATGAAAATGTGTGTGCACGTCCATCGTTATCAAGGGCATGAACCATTTTTGGCAGGACAATGAGTAATAATATTCTACATATGTCCACCATCTTTCATCAAAATCCAATCACTTTTGACTGAGTTGTAGAGCAAAAATGGTGTGAAAACATTGGCTCCCCAGGTTAATATAGATTTTTATTTTAGTGACCTTGACCTTTGAACCTTCAAAAACTAAGCACTTCTAAGTTGGGTCATAGTCCAATTGTATACAAACTTTCGACCAAATCCATTAAGCTGTTTGAGAAATCTTTCTGACAAACAGGTAAACAAGCACACATGGGGATGAAAACAACCTCCAGGTGGCAGAGATAAAAATAATGAAGCAGTATTTTCTTTCAATTATAAAGTCAACTGAACTGAACACATTTTCTTAAAATAAATTGCCCTGTAAAAATAAGCTTATATAGACCTTGCATAAACGTTTTTTTTTAAATAACCAAGATTCAAATTTCTAAGAACATTAGAGAAACACAAAAACAGTGACTCTTTATAAGAGTAAATCTGATACTTAATAATATTAGATAAAGTTGGTTATTGTTACACGAAACTTATTTCTTAAATACAGCTTCATTTCCTACACTATTAAGCTGCTACTTTACAAGAACTTTGTTGGGCAAAACACAAAACGAGAGAAATATAAATGCAACAATTATTTTGTGTCCTAAAACCTGTAACATTTTTTACAGCGCTACAAACTGAGAAATTCACTAAGCATGTCTTAGCAATATTATTAGATTTGATGTGCATGTTTGGTTAATAACCAGAACAAAATGACTTCCCCAGGACGTCAGTTTTATTGTAGTGATTCACAAAAAAAACGGAAGAATACGAGAGAAAAAAAAATACATCGCTCATGCCTGGATACACTTCATTAACTTCATATGTTTACACTATCATTTCCTGCTGCTCTTGGTAGATGGTTAAATGTTATGATAACGAAAGTGATAGAATAGAGCTGAATTGTGTGTATAAACAGAACGTTATTTGTAAAATAAATCAAAAGTTAATTATAAAACGAGTCACAACATCAGAAAGAATCTAGAACAGGAAGGATAAATTAATTTGTCATTAAGTTACATAAACTTTTAATATCCACACAAGGAGCAAATTCACGGCTTTACATACACAGCGTCTATAATGTTCAGTCTATCCCAATAAACGAGATACAAGTATGAAGTCTCGGAAGGGTACTGTTGAAAAAAAAAATCTTATTGAACTTCCCCATTTCTAATGTTGCATACTTTAAAAACAACGAGGCTTATGAAGCTAGGTAGTTTGTGTTAATAAAACGATCTAACAGAGCGTTTCTAAACCTCTTCGATGTCCGAGACTGACCCATTGTCTCCCGTAAACCATTACGATTTACAAATGAATATTCTGCCAGTTTCTTTCTTGCCTGTTTTTATGAAATCGCACGAATCGGCAAGGCGATTGTGACGGACCATAGTTGAGTTGGGTTTGAATTTCGCGCAAAGTTACGGGAGGACCATATGAGCTAGCCCTTCTTAATTTAGCAGTGATAGACTAAAGTGAATGCCACTAGTTAACACCACCCACTGCCACCTCTTGGGCGACTCTTTTCCAAGAATAATGGGATTGACCGTGATATTATAACTCTTCTCCCACGGCTGAAAGGGACGACCATGTTCTGTGACGGGTATTCGAACTGGTGGCCCGCAGATTGCGAGCTGAGCGCCTTATGAAACAGGCCATGCAATTGCCGAGGGCCAAACGCCATCAGAGTCCCACCGCGTGCACGCTAGAGAGCTCGTGATGAGGTCAGGGGTGGGCGAGGGAGAAGTGTCCTTCATTCACTTAATTTAAAAATAAACCATTTTTTTTTATTTCCTTTCTTTTTGATCACTAATAATTTTAGTTTATCAAACTGTATAGTCCTTTCTTCGAAACAAATCCCCCCTCCTCAACTGGTTTATACTTTGCCCAGGGCCTTAACGTAGCCCTGTATGCCAGGATTCTGGTGGTCGAGAAATATTGATCCGAAGGATTCAAACGCAACAAATATAGCAAAAACAGTCATCTTTTGTTCTTGTGATGAATGAGCGCTTCTTCGAAAATATATCAATTTCTTTTAAGATGTGAATAAACAGTTTTTTGTTTTGTTTTTCTCACAGGTAAATTATCAATACGACTCCTTTTTTCCTACAAAAAATGGGTTAAAATTTAAAAAGTATTTGTAGACCACTCTTTATTCTGTATGTGGAAAAACTACAGGGTTTCCGTAAACTACTGGACCACTTTATTAACTGAATAGAATGAAAACTACGTAAGGTAAACAATTACAGTATAACTCGGGTTCATTCGTGGCGGCCTTAGAACGCGTCATGGACGCCATTCGTGGCTCGAAGGATGTCCAGATGACAATCTCTGAAGCAATGGTCGCAGTTGCGTTGGTTATTCGGGCAAGCAACGTTACCATATCTGGAATATTTGTCTCATAGTTAATTTTCGTCACAAATCCTACTATAAATCATTGGGGGAAAAAAAACCTTCAGAAATCGGTCTTCCATATGCAACAAACCTCAAATGTTTATCTGGTGTGGTTTCTATTTTATTCAATTAATAAGGTGGTTGAATACTCTATGGACAACGTGTAAGTCAAGTAGCATAACCATTCTGTGATGTCACGTTTATGATTCATGCAGTTTTTCAAATTAAAAAGAAGTGATCGAATTGTTTAGGAATTTCAATTTTGACTAAAGTGGACAACGCACTTAGCTTCCAGTTTCCAACATCTTAATTCAGCATCAAATCATGAACTTTTCTTTCGCAATTCAATGAAAAATCACAAAAAGGCAAAGGCTCTGAAACATACTTTTTTTTAACGATTCATTTAAAAAAATTGAAAAATCATTTTCGAGCACCGAAACGCCATCCAAAAATATTTCCAACAGTAACTTGTTAATTTGGAAAATCACGAGCAGAAATACTTTTTTAAATATTCATACGATCCAAACTTTGAGTATGTGAATCATCAATAAGTTACTGAAACGTGTCTTATTACTATGATTAAATACCTTACTCATATCTAAATGTGATAGGTATGATACATAAAAGTTCCAGATGTGACAGTTGTGCTTCGGTGTATAGTAAGTAGGCCTAATCTCATCAGGTGTTCTTGGCTTATGGACATCCAACTGATGTTCTAAGTCTAATAAGCAGGCCTAAAGGCATAACCTCATTCAGGTGTTCTTGGCTTATGGACATCCAACTGATGACCTAAGTCAGCGTGGTCAGAGAAGCTTAATTGTTACTGTAGATTTTGAGCAACTTTTATAATAGAAGTTATTTCATAATTACATCAGCACTGGAGTTTTGAAAACCATCAATGTAGAGTTTTTCCTTTACGTTGTTTAACTTATCTTTAAATAAAAATAGGATACTGATACATCTGCTAAATTTAACCTGTACGCGTTAGGTGTGCTAAGCCGGTTATTACTTTTAATGGATTTATTTGAAACAAAATTTTATAAAGATGAAAAATGAGTGACCCCTGGAACGACTTCATAGAAATGTATAAAATTTCCATTAGATGGCGCCATAGTTAAATTTTAATGTTAATCCTACTTTCAGTAACTTAGGTTGATGATTCATATGTATAAAAATTGGATTGCATGTGTATCTATAAAAATCGAACAATTATATTAAAAAATTATTCTCGGATATTATAATGAACCAAAGTTCAATTTAAAAGTAATCAATACAAACTAGAAACCACCTGGTCCAAATATACAAAATATAACACGGAGATTTACAACTCGTATAGAATCTAATTTTGACTAAATACAATGCACAAATGCTGAGGGCTCTCAAAATTGTCATTTCCTTTTCATTGATTGTAGCTGCTAAGTGACATTTTATATATATATATATAAAAGCCTAATTATTAGTTTGAAATTCAGTATGTTAATATATACAACATAAAATTTAGAGAATTTCACACACACAAAGACTTGTATAAAAAAAAAAAGGTAAACTCGTAGTGTCAATGATCGAAATAATCTAAATACTTTAAATCGTACATATAATGTTGAAAACGGGTGAAGAAAACACTTGTTTTCATAAAATAAAACTTTTATTAAAAAATAACATTCATATTCACTGGATTTGCACATCCGTAGAAAGTAAGCGTGTAGAAGCCTGCCTAACGAGCGTTGTATAATCAGTTCAGTACATCTGGGTCCACTCACAACAGACGTTAATACAGATCAGCTAAAAACAATTAAAC